TCTGTGTACTAAAAAGGTGTACATTCTGTGTATTACCTGTGTACTATAGAGTGTATTACTGTGTACATAGAGTGTATTCCTGTGTATTACCTCTGTACTCTTGTCTATTACCTTTGTACTCTAGGGTAAATTATAAGGTGTACATCCTGTGTACTCCTGTGTACTATGGGGTGTACTCCTGTGTACTATGATAGAATCTGAAAATACACAATAATCTAACAGGCTCAGGAAGACGCCGATAGGATCAAGAGGGAGAAGGAGGAACAAGTGAAGAGAGAAGAAGAAGAGAAGAGGAAGAGAGAGGAACAAGTGAAAAGAGAAGAAGAAGAGAAGAGGAAGAGAGAGGAACAAGTGAAAAGAGAAGAAGAAGAGAAGAGGAAGAGAGAGGAACAAGTGAAAAGAGAAGAAGAAGAGAAGAGGAAGAGAGAGGAACAAGTGAAAAGAGAAGAAGAAGAGAAGAGGAAGAGAGAGGAACAAGTGAAAAGAGAAGAAGAAGTAAGAAAGGAGAAAGAAGAAAGGGAGAAGAAGGAGAGAGAAGAGAAAGAGAGAAAGGAAAGGGAAGAACAGCAGAGACTAAAGAAAGAAAAGGAAGAACAGGAGAGGAGAGAACGAGAAGAAAAGGAGAAGAAAGAGAAGGCAGAGAAAGAAAGAAGAGAAAGAGAAGAGAGAGAGAGAATAGAAAGAGAAAGGAAAGAGAAAGAAGAAAAAGAAAGACTTGAAAAGGAGAGAAAAGCAAAAGAAGAGAAAGAAAGACTAGAGAAGGAAAGGAAAGAGAAAGAAGAGAGAGAAAAGAAGGAAAAGGAAGAACGAGAGAGAAGAGAAAGAGAAGAAAGGGAGAGGAAAGAGAAAGAGGAAAGGGAAAGAAAAGAGAGAGAGGAAAAACAAAGACTAGAGAGAGAGAAGAAAGAAAAAGAAGAAAGGGAAAGGAAGGAGAGAGAAAGAAAAGAAAGAGAAGAGAAAGAGAGACTTGAAAGAGAGAGGAAAGAAAAGGAGGAGAAAGAGAGAATAGAAAAGGAAAGGAAAGAGAAAGAAGAGAGAGAAAGGAAAGAAAAGGAGGAGAAAGAGAGAATTGAAAGAGAAAGGAAGGAGAAAGAAGAGAAAGAAAGAAAAGAAAGGGAGAGGATAGAAAAAGAAAAGAAAGAGAAGGAAGAGAAAGAGAGAATTCAGAGAGAAAAGGAGGAAAAAGAAAGAAAAGAACGAGAAGATAGAGAAAAAATAGAGAAAGCAAAGAAAGAGAAGGAAGAGAAAGAAAGAAAAGAAAGGGAAGAGAAGGAGAGGAAAGAGAGGGAGGACAGAGAGAAGATAGAGAAAGCAAAGAAGGAGAAGGAAGAGAAAGAAAGAAAAGAAAGGGAAGAGAAGGCGAAGAAAGAAAAGGAAGAAAAGGAGAGACAAGAAAGAGAAAGGAAAGAGAAGGAAGAGAAAGAGAGAAAAGAGAAGGAAGAGAAATTAAAGAAGGAGAAAGAAGAGAAAGAGAGAAGGGAGAAGGAAGAGAAAGAGAGAAAGGAGAAGGAAGAGAAATTGAAGAAGGAGAAAGAAGAGAAAGAGAGAAGGGAGAAGGAAGAGAAAGAGAGAAAGGAGAAGGAAGAGAAATTGAAGAAGGAGAAAGAAGAGAAAGAGAGAAGGGAGAAGGAAGAGAAAGAGAGAAAGGAGAAAGAAGAGAAATTGAAGAAGGAGAAAGAAGAGAAAGAGAGAAAGGAGAAGGAAGAGAAATTGAAAAAGGAGAAGGAAGAGAAAGAGAGAAAGGAGAAGGAAGAGAAAGAGAGAAAAGAGAAGGAAGAGAAATTAAAGAAAGAGAAAGAAGAGAAAGAGAGAAAGGAGAAGGAAGAGAAAGCAAAGAAGGAGAAGGAAGAGAAAGAGAGAAAGGAGAAGGAAGAGAAATTAAAGAAAGAGAAAGAAGAGAAAGAGAGAAAGGAGAAGGAAGAGAAAGCAAAGAAGGAGAAGGAAGAGAAAGAGAGAAAGGAGAAGGAAGAGAAATTGAAGAAGGAGAAAGAGGAGAAAGAGAGAAGGGAGAAGGAAGAGAAAGAGAGAAAGGAGAAAGAAGAGAAATTGAAGAAGGAGAAGGAAGAGAAAGAGAGAAAGGAGAAGGAAGAGAAATTGAAGAAGGATAAAGAAGAGAAAGAGAGAAAGGAGAAGGAAGAGAAATTAAAGAAGGAGAAAGAAGAGAAAGAGAGAAAGGAGAAGGAAGAGAAAGCAAAGAAGGAGAAGGAAGAGAAAGAGAGAAAGGAGAAGGAAGAGAAATTAAAGAAAGAGAAAGCGAAGAAGGAGAAGGAAGAGAAAGAGAGAAAGGATAAGGAAGAGAAAGAGAGAAAAGAGAAGGAAGAGAAAGAGAGAAAGGAGAAGGAAGAGAAATTAAAGAAAGAGAAAGAAGAGAAAGCAAAGAAGGAGAAGGAAGAGAAAGAGAGAAAGGAGAAGGAAGAGAAAGCAAAGAAAGTCGCCACCGCCCGCAAGACCATAACAATGGACCCCGATGATCTCTCGAAGGATTCTGACTCATCTGTTGAAGACGCATTCGAAATGATGGCGCAGGAAGCAGTGGAGGAGGAAGAGGTAGAGGAGTTCTGGTCAGGAAGAGACGTGGCTTCTCCCATCGGCGCCCAGGAAGCAAAACATAAACAAGAAGTCGCCGAGAAGAAGCAAGAACAAGAGGCTTCAAAACGGAGTGGTGTCGAAGCTCCCAAGTCGGTAAAGATAATGAAATCTAAATCCGTTCGTTATTTTCTTCGTTTATTTTATTTTATTTCTTATTTTTTTCTGTCTATATTTTGTATATATTTACTTCTTCATTTTGGGTTTTTATTTTATTTCTATTTTTTTTTGTCGCCTCGAATTCCGGTGCCAAGCTTCGACTCGCCCGTCAACAGTCGCCGAATTTCACGTTTTTTCTTCTTACTTAAAATATCTCAATGTTATTTTTTCCTATAACACCAAAAATTAAATAATAACATCTTACTAGCAAAACGATTAATAATACTTAACTATAACATCTAAGAATTACTGTTAAATTGGCAGATTATTAACTTGGTAAAAACAAAAAATCACTTGGCAACATTTTGGCGGGCCTGTCTGATGTGGACTTCTGTACAGTATTGCCAAAGTTCATGGTTGATAATGTCTTAACATGGAGTAAAATTTATAACAATTTGTAATACTTATACTCTTTGTTCATAAGCTGTTCTATGGATGAAATTTGCTGCTTATTATAATGCTCTAACACATTTCGCTATAATGCTTTTCCATTCTCTGTTGTCGATATTGTATCTCATTGTTATTGCAGGTAGCGTAAGTATAATGAACTACGCAACAGCAACAATTTACATACATAGTGAGCTGTATAGACTACATTATACCACAAACGTAGCGAAGGCTGTATATGTTATAATTCCTTAATGTATTTGTATAGAAATCATGTTAGTTCTGTGAATTAAAAAAATATTAGAAAAATTTAAACGATGGCAACACTGTTTTTATTATTGTGATACCTCGTGTTATTTTTGGGTATAAATCCCGCCCCACCATATGGCAACACCGAGTTCGAGGTTTGCATTTTCCCCCTTTTATTTCAGATTTATTTTCTCTCTCTCCTCCCTTCTCGTTTATCGTGGTTTTCTCTGTACCTGTTTTTATTTTGTGTTGTTACCTTGTGTTACTGATTAAGCAAATATATGTCAAGCAAGCATAGACCTACCCATATTAGCGTTTATGCGTGTGTTTGTGTGTTTGTGTGTTTGTTATTAATGACTAGTGGTTATTTCACCTCATACCACCCCACCCCAACCACCGCCGCCTGCACCTGTCCGCTAAACATCTTAATTTACTGACTCTGGAAATAACCTGGTAAGTTCTCAGTCACCTACACGTTACAATATTACACACTTACACAATTTACCCTACGATAACTATAACATTTTCCCACCACATCTCAAACACATACACATACAACATTAAAACATTTCCTTAAAACATTTAATAACAACATTCCTTAACATTCACAAATCAAAATAACACATTTATCGGTTTACTCTGGTTTATATCACATGTTATATTAAACCAATGATATAATAACACTAGGTTTAACACCCTCACCCGCTCTGCTTGACTCATTGTGCAGTAATAATGGCCCTCTGTTTTACCCCGAGTGTGGCTTTGGTTTTAACATAATTAACATGAGGGAAGAAATGTTAATACTTGACAATTAAGGATGAGTAATGATGGTGTTTATTTACAACACATCAATACATACATACAGGTAATGATATATCAATAGGGTATTTGGGTACTTTTTCAGGTCAGGGGTCATGTTAATAGGTCAGGGGTCATGTTAATAAGGGGTTATTTTAATAGGTCAGAGGTCATGTTAATTAGTAAGGGTCTTGTTAAAAGTTCAGGGGTCATGTTAATAAGGGGTCATGTTAATAGGTCAGGGGTCATGTTAATAAGGGTCATTTCAATAGGTCAGAGGTCATGTTAATTAGTAAGGGTCTTGTTAAAAGGTCAAGGGTCATGTTAATAAGGGGTCATGTCAATAAGGGGTCATTTCAATAGGTCAGAGGTCATGTTAATTAGTAAGGGTCTTGTTAAAAGGTCAGGGGTCATGTTAATAGGTCAGGGGTCATGTCAATGGGTCAGGTTGGTCACTATTAGGCTGAGGAATCATTAGAAACGAGGGACTAACATTCAATCAGGTCACTTATTTTTTTCTATACATACTTGTAGCTATGTATGTTAGTCTCATGCATACCTATACATAGATATACATAGACATACATATATATACATACTTACTCCAATGCAAATAGACACAAACACTTCTATAATTACACACACATGTATACACACCCATACGTACACACGCATATATTGACACATACTTACAGTACACACACACACACACACACACACACACACACACACACACATACACACACACACACACAGCTCTCCAAACGCCAAGGGTTGCCTCAACTACCAATTTTCTAATCTAGATAAACCTTGTCTTGCAGGAACCAGCATCGAAACCAGCGCCTGAACCAACGAAGCCAGCCACTGAAGCCAAACCCGAACCCCCCAAACCAGCTGAAGCCAAACCCGCACCACCTAAGCCAACTGAAGCCAAACCCGAACCCCCTAAGCCAGCTGACGCCAAACCCTCACCACCTAAGCCAACTGAAGCCATACCCGCACCATCTAAGCCTGAGCTCCCGAAGCTTGTGGTGCCGACTCCTGAAGTGAGTAAGCCAGAGGTGAAGAAAGAAGCCACCAAGCCACCTCAACCAACAACAAAGAAGATGGATGAACCGACAAGTAAGTGAAGCCTCTCTGTGTAAAGTGAAGCCTTCTGTATGTTAAGTGAAGCCTCTTGTGTGTTAAGTGAAGCCCCCTATGTGTAAAGTGAAGCCTTCTGTATGTTAAGTGAAGCCTCTTGTGTGTTAAGTAAAGCCTCCTGTGTGTTAAATGAAGCTCCTATGTGTTAAGTGAAGCCTCCTGTGTGTTAAGTGAAGCCTCCTGTGTGTTAAGTGAAGCCTCTCTGTTAAATAAAATATCCATGTAATTATATATAGTTAATACTTATATGTTAAATTAAGCCTTTGATAATTATATAACGATTAAGCTATTATCGTGTCCCAATAAACATTTTACAAAATTAACATCGGAAAATTATCAATGTTATAATAAACATTTAAACATTTATTACAAATACCAAGAAAATAATTATACTAGAAAAAAATAATGAGTATAATTTCATCTATGTCGCTAAGATTATGACCAACATTATACTAAACATTTTAACAAACACTGACATGAACATTTGGTCTCCCCACAGCGCCGTTCACCCCTGGGGGCTCGCCGAAGCCTGTGTTTACCAAGACCCTTAAGGGAGACGTAGTGGAACGTAAGTATATCACGTTCACCTTTAAGTCCTTCCCCTTACTGCCCCCTTAAGTCCTTCCCCTTACCATTAGTCTATTCCATATTCCCCCTACCTACCCTTCCATAATCCTACCATCCTATCCTCCTCTCTTCCCCCTTCCATCGTTCCTGTTCTCTCCTCCAGAAATAATCAAGGAGGAAAGTTAAGACAGAACGTGTCATTTGTTTCGTGGTGTGTGTGTGTGTGTGTGTGTGTGCGTGTGTGTGTGTGTGTGTGTGTGTGTGTGTTTACCTTCAAATGAATGTAAACAAATTGTGTATCCATATGTATAAGTTACAGGTATAAACGTAAATATTCACAGACAAAGTATACATTCAATGATTAGTAAACATATGTATTCTTATGTATGATTTTGATATGTATATCCTCGTATACATCTGTGTTTATTTATACATGTTACCCCAATGTTTACTTAATTCCCTTTAAAAAAAATCATACTAACTTTATATCAATGTTTATTAATCCTCTAAACATATCATACTAATATCAATCAATGTTTAGTTCTTTTTTAAACATATCAATCTAGGTTTTATTTTATGTTTAATTAACTTTAAACATATCTCGTCAACATTTATGTTTATTTTCCTCCTAAATATACCTCAATAACACTAATATTTAACCTTCAATTTAAACATCTCGCTAACTGTATACAAATATTTAATTTTTATTATATCTCGCTATCAATTCAATGTTTAATATCCCATTTTAAACATCCTACTAACTCATGTTTATTTTTCCTTTCTAAACATCGCCAATAACTCATCAATGTCTACCTTCCTTATAAACACATGCTGTCCTCAGTAACCTACACTATAATACCAATGTTCCCTAACCCAATTTTCAGGAGTTGTATCAATTGACGAGTGGGGACACAGAGTTACAGTAGCCGTCAACGAACGTACGTACTAAGAATGTCATTATCATCTAGGCTTCACAGTTCTTTTTTCCGCAGTTTCCCCTCCCAATATTGCTTCCGTTTTCTCTCATTTTTTTTTCAGTGTACCATAGAAAATTGGGTCTTTCGAGAGAAAATGGGATACAAGCTTACTGTATGAATTTATTTTTTTTAGTTTGTTTTTATGTTGTTTCATATTACTGTTGTTTTATATAATTGTGAATTTGGTCTTATAATCGGATAATAAATCTTAATTGTGTAATATTTTTCAGTCATTCTTTCCAAATTATATCCCATTTTCTGTTGAAATTTTATAGATCATTTCCTGCATTGTAATCTACTCATGAACATCTCAGAAGGATGTAGATAAATAGTTGTTATCTTGTAGGCATGATGATAACTTCTGATGTGATCATGAGTAAGCTGACGTGTACTCTTCCTCTATATCTCACAGTATCTGTATAGGCTTCAAACACTTTCAGCAGCTTATGTACAATACAGCCATTATTCTACCTACCCGATGCCTAGCTATGGGTGGCGTATAAGACGACCGATGTTAGAAAAAGTACCACGAACGGGACCTCAAACCATTTTCATTTTGTTTTGTTTTTAATTGAAGTAATGTCCCTTAACCAAACTTAATCAAAGTTAATCTAATTTTATGATTTTATTACAATGTTTTGTTAGGTTATATTCGGTTCTTGTCACCTGAGTACAGAGTAAATAGTCCCCCCCCCTCCCGTTTTCCTGTTCGTGGTATTTGTAAAACATTTGTCATCTTTACGTAGGTTTCAAATCTCTATCTCAGTAGTTACGAGGTTCATGCGTATACAGGATTAGCGTGTGCTGATTGGAGTTTGCTAAATGACGTCAGATAATGCTATCCAATCCTCTACTAGGATTCGTTAACTTTCATTGGTTGTATTAATGTTTTCGATTAGTTTTATGTTAGCTTAAGTTTTGTTAGGTTAACTTTATATTAAGTGAGGTTAGGTTAGGTTAGTTTAACTCTATATTAGGTTAGATTTTTAGGTTAAGTGAGAGAGGTGTGCAAGGTTACGTCAATGAAGAGCAGAGCCAATGAGCACATGTCTTTCCCTCATATACGCGGAATCTGCAAAATTGCTTCCCGACCAGCTATTGAAAGCTTATTAGCTGCCTTTCACTTCTTCAGCTAAATCAATGTAAAATATAATCCCGTTGAATCTTCTATCAACTTGCAGTAGTGTACTTCCGCGTTGAGCTTCCAAGAGTTAAACCCATTTTCTTTGAGAGCTAAATCCGTTTTCTACCAACCTATCATGAAGGGTAACTTAAATATTCTGTAGTCATCTAAACTATATTAACACTATATATATCTTCAGTACCACAACCACACATACACCTGAATGTAAGAAATAAAAACAAATCGAGATGAAATATAGAGAGAAAAGACAAAAAAATAAATTATAATGCAAAAACAAATGGTACAGTTCCCCCTTACAATCAAAATTTTGTTCTCATCATCATTTTACTAACCTGTCTATTGCTTCCCTACAGCTGGTGATAGTGTCTCCTTCGTGTGTGAGGTTGCCCACCCACTCCCTTACTTCGTCACATGGCTTAAAGACTCCAAGCCACTGGACGACAAGCTGGCAGACCGCGTCCAACAACAGGACAGTGGCACCAGGCATACCCTCAAGGTAATGTGTCCAGATTTTGTATGCTGTACAGATTTTTTTGCAGATTATCCGGATTTTGAAGATTTTCCGGATTTTGTAGAGATTCCGGATTTTGAAGATTTCCGGATTTTGCAGGTTTCCGGATTTCATTTCTTATTAGTTTAGGTTTGAAATGCCTGTTTTTTTTGTTTATAATAATCACTATTGATTGTCTACTTCCTATTTGTTTTTATTTTGTCTGAAAGCAAATATAACTAGTTTAGAATTTTGTCTAAGATGCTAGTACCTTAAACATTCTCCAAATTCATCATTAATAATTTAAATCTTAACCAATTTTGAAATTAATTGGGTTAGATAATTGACCAAAACTAGCCTTATAAATTTAAAGCTTGTGCCCTCACCTTTTTTTTGCTATCCAATTTAGATGCTAGACTATTATTGGCCTGGTTGGCAACTAAAGGCTTGACCCTATTTGACTGATTCTGGTCAATCATATCAGAGGTGTATTTTATTTTATTTTTTTTACATCCAAGATTCTAAGTAGATTGCCTCTGGTGATATCCTAATTGATGTTACATAAATCTCTCTCTCTCTCTCTCTCTCTCTCTCTCTCTCTCTCTCTCTCTCTCTCTTAATAATTTTTTCTCAATTTTTTGTCTCTCTATTTCCTTCATTCTTCGTTCGTTTTTCTTCTTATCTCTATTTCTTTATTATTTTGTTTAATTTCTTTGCTCTTCCTTTATTTGTCTTTTTTAAGTTTGACCTTTTTCTTTCTTTTATCTCTATTATATTTTATCTATGAACCAAATCTTCTTTCATTTCTCTTTTTTTCTTTCTTTCTTTCTTTCTTTCTTTCTTTTGCTCAATGTTTCTATCTCTTCATTCAGATGACAGATGAAGGCGCCAGACACACCTTACAGGTATCAAATTGTTAATGAGTTACCACCCGAGATGCCGTTAGCCCCCTGAGAATGGCACCTCCCTTAGAATGCCCCCCCACCCCAGAGAACGTTAAACCCCGCTTAGAATGTCCCCCGAGAATGGCATATCTTTAAAATACCCCCAAGGATGGCATACCACTTAGAATGTCCTCCAGAGAATGGCAACTTCGTAGAATATCCCCAGAGAATGTCACCCCTTAAAACGTTGCCACTGAACCCCCTAACCCCCCTTTAAATCGTTACTGCTGAACACTCCTCCTTAGAACTTTGCCCTAAGGAATGCCATCTCACGGGTACATCTTTTCACACCCTCCCCCTCATGAGAATTGAGAACACACCCTCTTTACATATCTTCCCCCGGAGAATATTTTTCTTCTCTATCTTTTGAATGGACTTGTGGCCTTTCTCTTGAACACCCAGCGGCTGTTTACTGCATATATTGTGTTTGTTACCCCCAAGAGATGTAAGAATACCAGTTGGTGTTTACCTTATGCGTGTGTGTGTGTGTGTTTGTGTGTATGTATGTGTGTGTGTGTAAATCCATCAATATCATTAACTTGATTGAAAGAAAATGGAAAACTGAAGGAAATTAAGACCGGTTGAAGAAAACGGGAATACTGTTATTGCCTTCTAGGAGAGACTCAAGACAAAACCCCTGTTAAGACTATAAGCTTGACTTGTTCTTTCTCAACCTGTCGTGTTTCTTACGTAAACCAGGAATTATGATTGTATCCCAACCAGCTTACTGCATCAGCTTTAACTTACTGTGTAAGCTGATCATCACCGCACTAGAGATAAAACATAAATTGGTTCTGAAATAATTACAAAGCACTTAGATTAATCCCATACCTGTCTAAACTAAATACTGATGGCTAATGATTTACTGAGCTGACGTGATTACTCCATCGACCTTCAATAGACGATCTACTTACTGTATATAGCGTATTTCTTAACCGTAAGTAAGGTTACCGGAAACAAGTACTTATCGTGTTCCAGACAGTTTCTTTTTGATATAGGTTATTAGAGAAAGTTGATCCATCTTTCGTTTGTTTTCTTGGCCAGATGATCTGTAAGGAATAAACATTTTGTGACATTTACCAGGAAGATGGTATAGTAATTCCTCCCGAGGCTTCATATAATGTTTTTAATTTCTGTTCTGTTCTGTAATAATATCTCAAAGCGTTAAGATAACATAACAACAGAAGAGATAGAGAATATTTTTTTAATAGTTTACTGCACAAATTAATCCTATTAAACGTTGTTGAATACAGGAGAAAAAACAATTAATCACGAATGTTTATAGACAAAAAAATAACTCGTCTGTGTTTGGATTTTGTGACTGTTTGTCTTATCTGGTGGAAGGAGGTGACTTTCTGTTCGTAAACAATGTGGTGTGTGTGTGTGTGTGTGTGTGTGTGTGTGTGTGGGTGTGTGTGTGGGTACCTTACGATTTACCTGTCCCACACGAGGTTTGACTAAGGGTGATCGTAATGTCCTTGTACACCTGTAATAATTAAAAATAGGGTTATACCTCGTTATACCTATTTTATCATAAGTAAAACAAGGTAAATAATTATAGCGTTAATTATAGCAGGTGTACAGAAAAAAAATGGTATTACGTCACTATCTCGTTTAATGTACGGAAAGGATTAATGTCTCTGAATCACTGAAAATATGTTAACTGTCTCATATAAATCTCCCGAGTGAAGCATCTTGATATAAAGTAATCTTAGCAGTGTATTTTTCCCATGTAAACACGATGGAATGATAGAACCTCCTTCCTTCCCTGTGTATGATGATGTAATGTTTGTGTATGTTTCAATTGACTCGTATACTGCGTCAGTTTGGCTTTACGGATTTTGACTCGTCTTGTATTTCAATGATTTACCCCAATGAACTGTTTCTCTCCCTTCATCTTTGGGTTATAATTTTGCATTTTTATGTTTTTGTTTAATGTATATATAATTTTTCAATGAAGGACTGATTGTGTTTTGTTTCTGAGTAACATTTCAACATCACGACCCTACCCACCGCCCTCTCAGCTTACACACTACATGCTGAGTTGATGTTGTTGGAGAAGTACTGAAAATTGAAGGGATATTCATCATTCATTTGTATTTTACTAAGTTGATATTAAGGTTAATGATAGATAATGTAATGTATCTATTTTATTTTTTGTTCTTCATAAAGCTTTTCTCTCTTAATTTGCTTTTCACTTGGCGTATTAGCAACAGTCTTATCTCTGTGTCCCTCTGGTGAATAGGTGATGAACTGCCGCGTCCAGGACTCAGGCATCTACACTGCCAAGGCCACAGATGAGGTTGGTGCCAGCGCTACTTGCTCAGCCCAACTTCTCGTACAGGAATGTAAGTAAAAATCTCATAAAAGTATATGTATTTAGTAATCATTAGAGTTTACATGTATACATAGATAACAATAAAGTCGTATGATATTTTATGTTTGTTATCTGGACTCAAACTACAGTACGTGTAATAGGTGAGATTGGCAGCGCTGTCACAAACTTCTCAAAATATCGTACTGGCAAGAGACTTATAAAATCTCCAGGCAACTATGCTGTGATTGGTTAGAGAACGTGACGTCATCTTCCCTAAACAGACTACGCTCACCAATCAGATTTACCCAAGGATCAATAAATTAATTTTAATTGTGTCAACTAACTTACTGTCATATTCAAAGGCGATGTAAAGAACTCACGCCCTCCAACCAATCACATCTTGGCTGCCGGACGCTCTCTAGACGTATATCATTGTCTAGAAAGTAATAAAATGTTATATATAGAACCAAATCCACTATATTCCCGCTGAAGCAAAGATCTTACAGGTGTTATTGTCTAAGATCTTGTTGACTCTTACCTCGGGAAGATCAATGTTCCTTATAATCTCTCAAAATCTTACAGCATCACTTTGAAGGTTTTATAACAATGAGGTAACAAATATATTTAGTTTTTAAGAATTTGATAATTTTAAAGTTAGTATGTCTGTCTGTGTTATTTTTTTGTCTGTCTATTTGATTATCTTCTGGTCTGTCTACCTGTCATTCTGTCTGTTTTATCTGTTTACACTTTATTTGTTATGTCTGGAAATCTGGATAGGTGTTTACATCTCTCTCTCTCTCTCTCTCTCTCTCTCTCTCTCTCTCTCTCTCTCTCTCTCTCTCTCTCTCTCTCTCTCTCTCTCTCTCTCTCTCTCTCTCTCTCTCTCTCTCTCTCTCTCTCTCTCTCTCTCGCACATAATTTAATTCACTCACTCACTCCCACAGTGACGGAAGAGGAACGAGCTCGTCGCATAGCCGAGAAGTCTCCCTTCTTCCTCGTCAGGATGAAACCGACGGAGGTGATCGAGAATACCAACCTCTCCTACACCATCCATGTCAAGGGCGACCCTATGCCAGAGATTCAGTTGTAAGTGGTTGTGCCTGAAGCTGTAACTTGATAGATGGTCAGTGGGTGTTGGTGGGTGGCTAGTGGGTGTTGGTGGGTGGCTAGTGGGTGTTGGTGGGTGGCTAGTGGGTGTTGGTGGGTGGCTAGTGGGTGTTGGTGGGTGGCTAGTGGGTGTTGGTGGGTGGCTAGTGGGTGTTGGTGGGTGGCTAGTGGGTGTTGGTGGGTGGCTAGTTTGTGTAGGTAGATTATTTAGCAAGACCTAAATTATATACTGAAGGGGGAACTTTGCCTAGCGTAAGAGGAGGTAAAGATGACATGATAAATGATGGTCTGAGTGGTGAAGGAGATTAACAATAAGAGGGAGGGGGAGTAATGGACTGGGTATAAGAAGAAGAGAAAAAGTGAAAAGGACTGTCTAGCAATGACGGGAAGAGGTGAGGTAGAGATAATGGAATAGTTGTGAAAGAATTATTATTATTATTATTATTATTATTATTATTATTATTATTATTACTATTATTATTATTATTATTATTATTATTTACCATTTGACTCTTCTTTTATTACTTCCATCTTTGTGAACTCTCTCCCTCTCTCTTGTTCTCTCCTTCCTGCCTCACAAACTGCCTGGAGGGGCTGTGTGTCCCTTCAGGGTTACCTGGGCAGGTACAGTAATTGGCTGAGGTATGGGAAGAAATATTGAGTCTATATGTTCTCAATTTTTCACGCACTGAAGCTACAAGGTTTTGGGTGGAAGGTGTGTGCGTGTGTGTGTGTGTGTGTGTGTGTGTGTGTATCTCTCATTATTGACTGGACAGAGGAAAGAAATGAGACTGATGTGAGTTAGACAGAGAGAGATTGAACAAGATTGAGAGACACTGTAGAAAGTGGGTGTAATGAGAGAGAGAGAGAGAGATTGTCCCCTTCAACTCAAAACTCTGCCCTCCCTCCACACATACTTATCACCATCTCATCCTCCACAGCTTCAAGGACGACACAGAGATCAAGGAGGACTCTAGAGTAACACTTCACCGTGACTTCGCCAGCGGCCACTACGAGTTACTCATCTCTCACGTCCAGAAGAGTGACGAGGCAACTTATAAGTGTCTCGCCAGGAACAAGTTTGGGAGAGCTGAGTGTCAGGCAATGATGACTGTCAGTGGTGGGTGTCTCTCTCTCTCTCTCTCTCTGAATTCATATTTTATAGTTTATTTTTCACATAACTTTCAATACTTCAAATAGTAATTACTCCTTTACTTCACCCCTTTACCCCTTTAATTCAATGTCTATATTCCCTTTGCCTCAATGTTTATATCACTTTACTTCAATATAAAACACCCCTTTTATTTCAGCCCCTTTAACCCTTTGCTTCTCCCTTAGACGAGGAACTGGTGTATGAGAGTCTTTCCGGCAAGGGGTCGCTGCTGGCCAAGGGAGAGAAGGCAGAGTTCACGTGGTTTAGAGACGGTCAGGAGTATGACCCCCTCGAGCGCTTCAACGTCATGTTCAAGGTCAGTTTTTCTTAATAATCCCTCGGTTGACCTTTGACCTCTGTGAGATTTTTGTGACGGCTGGATGATCTTGGTTGACCTTTGACCTCTGTGATTTATGAGACGGCTAGATGACCTGTGATCTTAGTTGACCTTTGACCTCTGTGTGATTTATGAGACAACTAGATGACCTGTGATTTTGGTTGACCTTTGACCTCTGTGTGATCTGTGAGACGGCTGTGGTGTAGTGTAGTGTAGTGGTGTAGTGGCGCAGTCTAATGCCGATACAGTGTTTCTAGTTGATATCGGTGACCTAAGGTGACCTGTGTGTCGGCTAGGTGACCTGTGTGGCAGATGGGTGACCACCTATTTGACCTCTACCTCTCTATATCTGACCTGACCTGTATCTCACTGAATCTTACCTGTCCCTCATTGAACTTTGACCTGTATCTCACTATATCTCACTGTATCTCACTGTACCTCACTGTACCTCACTGTACCTCACTGTACCTCTCAGGACGACGAGGACACGCTGGCATTGGTGTTCCAAAACGTGACCCCAGAGGACGCCGGCCTCTACACCTGTGTGGCCTCTACCTCCTGCGGCAAGATCTCCTGTTCCGCCGAGCTTACCGTCGAAGGTCTGTATCTGTCTGTCTGTCTGTCTGTTAATCTGTCTCTCTCTTGATCCCTCGAGTTAAGTGTTTTTTTTGACATCTGTAAACATTTCTTTTTCACTTAATCCCGAGACAACACTGCCACTTAAGGTAGTTTCTCAGCGTAACATAAAAGACGCCTTGATCATCTGTTTGTGTATAAAGGCTTTAGAGAATTAGTTATATTGCGATCCTGCCTCTGCTTGTCCAATTAGGGTGACATTGTATCGTGAAATCCTTTGATTTTCTGTATTTTTATTGGGGATTAGGTGAGTTTTTATTATCCTTACCTGATGAGAGAGATTTAATGTAAGAGTTCACAGGTGAATCTTGAATGTCTATTATCTTATTAGCTAATTATTTGTGAGCTGTAGGTGTTCCCAGGTGTATGAGAGTGTGGTGAGAAAGTTGGAAAAAAATACTCCAACATAAAGCCACCTGTACTGCTTAACCTGGTTCACCTTCACCTATATTCACCTGTACCTGAGCTCATGACATATAACACCTCATCCACCTGTCAAATTACCTGTCCTCACCTGGGGCAGAAATTGATAACAAAAGTCACTCACCTGAACGACCATATCATCGGCCCCCAAGCTGTCGCAACACCCGTATTCACCTGTCTCTCACCTTGACGAAGACAGATGGTTCCTCTAGAAGCCCTGGAGCCACCTGGGAGCCGTCTTGGGCCACCACCTGGGAACGGCTCCTCATTTCCTTGAAAGGGTCGTATCTCACGCCCTCTTGCGCTGTCTCTCTGTTGGTTTTGAAGGTCGTTGCTCACTCACTCAATTACTCACTCACTCAATCACTCACTCATCCACTCACTCACTCACTCACTCATCCACTCACTCACTCACTCAATCACTCACTCATCCACTCACTCACTCACTCACTCACTCACTCACTCACTCACTCACGAAAGACAGATTCCTGTATTGTTTTTTATAAGTTTCTATGACCGACCAAATCCACCCACTTTGACAGACTAAATTTAACTGAATTGGACTAAACTGCACTAAATTTGATCTTAAGAAAAAAGTTCAGCTTTCTGTAGAGACATGGCCAGAGTAGAGGTCAAGAGGCCACATCAAGGAGGTCGGTAGTGGCCTCGCGTTTCTCCTTGACCTCTCACTTGAAAGATTATCAATACACAGTAGGCAAGTCTCAGTGTTATTTTGATTCCATTTTTTGCGTCTTCAGAGTGATTGATTATTGTTTGTGTTTTGAATCGATTTTGAGTCAATTTTGTCATTTAGATACTGTCTCATGTCTCAAGGTAACGAGAAATTATTTGAGATATTAACTTACGAGTATTTGAGAACTTCTGACTTATCGTATCTGTGTACTCTCTCTCTCTCTCTCACGTCCTCTTGAGACTTTGAGAGGCTATTAACAATTGTGTTCTCGAGGTCGGATCAATGTTTCCAGTGGTGGTCCCTTGGTGCAGTGTTACAATGGTCCTACAGTGTTGCCCCAGGATTACGTAAAATCCTAACCTCCCCCCCCCCACACACCTAACCTAACCTAACCTAACCTAACCTTAACCTCATCTTTATCTCCTTCCATAGGCTCCGTCAATCGTCTCCTGCGTGACCCGGAGCCTCCCATCATCAAGGAGGAGCTTACTGACACTCAAGTAGCCCAAGGAGGGTCTGCCATGCTCGAGTGCAAGATCGGAGGCTTCCCTAAACCCGAGTTGGAATGGTAAGAGAAATGGGGGACTGCTGTTGATCTTATGGGAGTTAATGAGGGCCTTAAACCTAACAGAATCCTGATATTAATGGGTTCCAGTCTTGTGTGTCTGTGTGTGTGTGTGTGTGTGTGTCTGTGTGTGTGTGTGTGTGTGTGTGTGTGTGTGTGTGTGTGTGTGTGTGTGTCTGTGTGTGTGTGTGTGTGTGTGTGTGTGTGTGTGTGTGTGTCTGTGTGTGTGTGTGTCTGTGTGTGTGTCTGTGTGTGTGTGTGTGTGTGTGTGTGTGTGTGTGTGTGTGTGTGTGTGTGTGTGTAAACTGACTCCATCGCCCCATACTCTTAACTCTTCTCTTCCTTATTACATCTTCCTTCCCTCATGTTTCTATTCCCTCTGTTCCACCCATACGAAAGTGGGAGAGGAATATAGATAGATAGACCTATAGATTATTTTCATATTATCATTGTTATATAGTTAGAGAATATATCCCTATAACAAAGACCTTACCTGAACCTACCTGTACCGTACCTGTATTCAACCTGTGCCTTACCTGTTTTTACCTGTACCTTACCTGTAATCCCTCAGGACCAAGGACGGGATGGGGATGGATGAAGCGTAAGTCACTTTAAATCATTAACTTTACCTGTTGATTAGTTAGTAAATTACCTATTGATTGACTTGTGTATTGTAAGTATACTGTTTAATTAATTACCTTTTGATTAACTTGTAAATTGTAGGTACACTTTCAATAATTAATCTTAACTTGTACATTGGATATTGACCGTATTTCTTAATTAACCTGTGTAGTTGTAGGTGTTTCAGCAGGTGGATTAATTAGTCATTGATCAAGTACTTACCTGTTCTAATAGCTGGACTTGATAAACGTCACCTTAACAGTAGAATATTTATCTTTAAGTATCTCGTATTTTATAGGTCTGTAGGGTTAATAATTAATTTAAGTGGTCAGTGACTAATAAGTAAATTGGTAAGTAGCTATAATAATTTAAGTAGTATTTGGCTAATGATTTAAATGAACTGTAGGTAATAGCTTTAGTGGACAGTAGGCAATAACTGAAGTGGTCAGTGGCTAATAACTTACTGTAAGTGGTCTTTAGTTAATAATCTAAGTGGTCATTACTCAACACCTCAACCAAACAACACTCACCCTCCCTAAAAAAAAACTCACCTGTTGACAATACCTGTAAACAACCAACAAAACTAAACAACTAATCAACCTTGTTTACACTGACCATCTATCTACCTCCAGGACCAAGAATGGTTTAGACGTGAAGGTCGGGGGTCGTTTTAAGCTCCTTTGGGAGGACGAGGAATCGGTAGCTCTCGTGATCAAGAATGTGGAAGAGAGAGATGCTGGGCTCTATCGCGTCATGGCCAAGAATGAACTGGGAGAGGTGGAGTGCTCAGCCAACCTAGCCATCAAGGGTGAGTATTTAGTTCGTGTTGTCTGAGACTGGAGGAGCTTAGGTTAGGTTAGGTTTTTTTCGTCTTGTTTTACGATTGAGAAATAAGAGAGAGTAGTTCCTTAGAGAGGGAGGGGTGGGTGGCTCAGAGAGATTAAGTCGTCCTCTACCTTTGCCATCGAGGGCGAGCTGTAATCCCTTAAAAGGTAGTGTACTGTCTTGGGGTTTTGAGAGTGAGATGAAGAGAGTGGCTAGTGATATCGAAGAGAGTCTAAGAGGTGTGTGTGTGTGTGTGTGTGTGTGTGTGTGTGTGTGTGTGTGTGTGTGTGTGTGTGTGTGTGTGTGTGTGTGTGCATCAGGGGTCTATATAAATCTATGGGATCTCTAAATATATCAAAATTAGACTCATAATCCTCAAGATGTGTATTATCTCCCCTCATACACACCCCCCCTATATAACCCCCCATACAACCTCCCTCCCGTCTCCCTTAATACCATCCCCTCGTCTCCCCTCACAGCTGGGCCAAAGATCAAGAACATGAAGAAGGAGGTCGCTTGTGTCATCGGCCAGCCCTTAAACTACAAAGTGGAGGTGGAAGGTGAACCCAAGCCTGAGATCCGATGGTGAGTACTGGTTCTATGGTTCTGTGGTTCTGGTGTATGGTTCTGTGGTTCTATGGTTCTTGGAGGGTTATATACGTTCGCCTGGCGTTCGTCGTGGGGTGAAGGGGAATTGAAGTGTCTTGTAATAGTAAAAAAGCGATGTTATTACCAAGACACGAGCGAAGGTTCGTCTGGCGTTGTTTCCATAAGTGTGTCGTGATGGCGTTGAGTGGATGCTTTAGGGCGTGAGGTATAGGGTAAATTAGTGTCCTTTTCTCTATTGACTTCTCTAGGATTCCCCCTCTTAAGTATCCTATTCTCGTTGTACTTTTCTAGGAACTCTTCTTTGGTGTCCTATTGTGTTTGGACTCTAGGATCCCTCGCTACACAGTGTCATATTTTGCCAGTTGTCGTAGTGTCTTAATTTAAGAAGCTCCTCTCAAAACGGGACACCACAGGACTCCTTCATTCCTGTGTTGTTCGGACAGCAGAGGAAGACTATTGGTATCCTCATTACGGATGGAATTATGAGGATAGTTTCTCCCTCATAATTCATTTGATGATGGAGACAGGTTAATTAATTCACAAGATCACCTGAAGATTAACCACCCTAATGCTAACCTAACCTAACCTAACCTAACCACCTTAATGCTAACCTAACCTAATCTAATCTATATTTACCTAACCAAACCAAACCAAACTCACCCTTAGGTAGTATTCAGGTGTTTTAATCAGGTGAAATTATATAGTATACCTAAAATCATCAGGTGATCTACGTTTTTGCACTTTATCATAATGGCCAGGTACTAATCCAATATCCATAGTGTGTTTCTAGATAAGTTAGAATTAAATTAATCTAATTTGATATACGTGTTCTCTCTCTATACTAAAAGGACCTTATTAACTTTAGGTTCAGCTGTACAGAAGGTCACAATAGGGGTGGAAATTCGAGACTATTATTACAGTATTGCATTATTTACGGTATGTTTGTGTTAGTCTGAGTAAAGATTTAAAAGGGTGATGGGTAAATTATAGTTCTGACGTTTCTCATTTGGTAAAGGTTAGATGATGTTTCTCACTGTGTTAAACCATGTTGATATTTGACTAGACATACTAAACATCGAGGAGACTAGGAGAGTAATCATGGCGTGTTTATTTACCGTGTGATGTACAGTCCAGAACTCGAATGCAATGTTTTTTTTTTCTTCTACAACAGTTTAGTATAATTTAGTCTCCCCCTGTAACTTGTAATTGATTTCGAGTTATTTGCATTTTCTTTACCAATATATTTTTTTATTTAATTTAGTCTCCCTTGCTTCCTGTTTATCCATTTTCGTTTATGAACAATTTACTTTAGTCTTCCCTGCTGGGTTATATTAGCATTGGGTTAGTTTAGGTTTGATTTAGTTAGTGTTAGGTTAGGTTAGTGTTAAGGTCGATTAGTATTAGGTTAGGTAAGTATTACGTCAAGTTATTGTTAGGATATGTAAACAATAAGAGAAATTAGCCAAGGTTGCTTAATCTTTATGTGATCCGTTTTCTGTGAGTGTTCCAGTTTCCTCCTGTACTAACACTGTATTCACGAGGACCAACTCATCAAAAATAATGAGATGGATTAAGGATGACATTGGCTTCTTTCCCCGGGTTAAAAGTTAATCTAAATGTCAGGGGAGATTAATTGATTGGGAAAAGAAAATAGATAGACAAGAGACATGGAGAACTAAAGTAAATTATATATAAAAAGAAAATGGCTAAACAGGACGAAGGGGGAAACTAAAATAATTATATAAAAAGAGAAAATTGGAAAATAAGTGGATAGGGAGGACTAAAGTATATTATAAAGATAAATACAATGAATAAACAGAAGGCAAAGATGATAACAGTGATTAAACAGTAAAGGAAAATGAGTAAACAAGGGATAGGAGGAACTATACTAAATCACTGAAGGGAAGGGAGCTGTGTTATTCCTATGTTCACGAGGTTGAAATGTTACTGTGTATAAAACAGAGAGATTTACGTGGGAGGGGGGAACTAATGGTCTTGTTTGAAGGTCCATGACACATAAATATACATGACACATAAAGGTGCACGATAAACTAGTTTTTTCTTCTCTTCTCTGCTATGCTATAATAGTGAGAGAGAGAGAGAGAGAGAGAGAGAGAGAGAGAGAGAGAGAGAGAGAGAGAGAGAGAGAGAAATGTGAGATATACACAAAACTAGAGAATAAGCAGACAAATACGGGGAAATTGAATAAGGAGTAAACAATTAAAGAGAAAAAAAGCTAAATGAGAAACTGAAAGAGAGAGATAGAGAGAATAATAAAACTAACAATTACATTAAAAACAAAGTGAAACAGACAGACAAACAGAGATAAAGATGCTAACAAATATATTACAGTCAAAAGTAAAGTAGGCGAAAGAGAACGAATAGCAAATGCATTGTTTAACCTTTCTGACATCAACATACCTCATAGACGGCTGAGTTAACAAGATTCACTCCTAAAACTATGCTAATTTAACAAAAACCTTCATTACTTTACTATTATTACAATTTAAACAAAAACATTTATTTTGTTAGAATAAATATGAGAGTAATTTGGGTGAATTCAATGATAAAAGAATAAATTTAATTTCTTATTTTTTGGTTAGTGGAGAACACCTTCCGTTTTCTTTGCCAAGTGGGAAAAGGAGACACCACAGGCATTCTATTTTGGCGACCTGGACCTTGAGCTCTCTCTCTCTCTCTCTCTCTCTCTCTCTCTCTCTCTCTCTTTGGCTGCATATTTCGCATTGCTGAGAATTACTCACTGATGCATAGTTCCGTAAAGTACAGAACACAAACAAACAAACAAACAAACATATAACTGAACCCAAACAATGAACATAAACTATTCTTGACCATTATCTTGTTTTAAAATTATTGATGTTTTTATTGGTGTTGTTGTTATTCTTCCTGATTTACAATGATGATTAAAACAACAACAACAATAATAATAATAATAATAATAATAATAATAATAATAATAATAATAATAATAATAATAATAATAAAAAAACAAGTAATTTACCATATGTTTTTTGTCAAATTTTAAAAGTTATTCCATGTAAAAAAAATATACATAGAACATTACTAAATTATTATGGCCATTAAACCTTCGTATACAAAATGCCTAAACAATAAACTCTCTCGTGCACCTTTTAGTATGTCTCTTGGCGTTCTCTCTGCTCTCACAGTGAACGCCAACAGCAGTAAATAAAAGAGTTAGTTCTTATACCTCGGGCAACATAATGTAAAGAAAATGGGGAGCTATTATTTGTAGCAGTATCTCATCTATTTGTCTTAATGGTTGCAGTAGAGAGTAGGAAGTGTGCTGTTGTGGTGTGTGACTGTACCTGTTGTAGTGGCTTAGTATATTATAACATCAACAATGGTTAGGTTAGGTTAGGTTGGTTTAGATTACGTTAGATTAGGTTGGGATAGTTCAGTTTAGTTTAGGTTAAGTTAGTTTTGGTTAGGTTAATTTAGGTTTGATTAGGTTATGTTAGGTTAGGTTAAGTTAGGTTTATAAATAAAATAGATATTTCTTTATTATTCAGTGTCTGTTGTTTAGTGTATAATCTGTAGTGATGAAATACATAATTAAAAGACCTTAGTTGTTAATAAAAAAAGTAACTTTACAATTTCGTGTGAGACAATATGACACAACCGACGAAGGATTTTGACAACCCTACCGAGACAACAGGAGTCGTAGTGTTCATTGTGACATTCATCGATCACCTCCGTAGAGATTTTTTTTAACCTTGTGCAGAGTAATTTAACAACATTGTAAATAAATGTCCAAACATCATAGTTTCTATCTGTTGTCTAGTTTATACTGAAATAGTGTATGTTGAAGTACAGAGATACCCAATGACAGTATTTTTAAGTTAGGAGAAGGATAATGTTTTCTCCTTTTGGTATAGTTGTCTGGAGTTATGACCTAATTTAGTTTAAGTAATTAGACGCATTAGTTGTTAAGGTGCAGAAAAACACAACACGCACCATGGATTATCGGGTACAAGAAACATAGAAAATGGAGCGTTGGTTACAGAAGATAGTTAACGGTAATGAAGTAAACTTAAAAATGGGAATAAGTTTGGTAGTAAATTAGACATAAAAATCAACAAATAAATGATTTAATACAAAAAATAACTTTAAAGAAAATAGGAAACTAAGAAGAAACATTTGATTGGTTGACATCATAGTTGTAAATAAGATTCGCTATTGTACGAGGTCTGCCTTTGAAGAAATTAGGTTAGGTTAGGTAATGAACATGTTAGCTTAGACAAATACTGAGTTCCGAACCCCAGGCAAGAAGTGTGTGTGTGTGTGTGTGTGTGACGCATCATCCCAAAAAGACAGTGCTGTAAGGGGTCTGTCGGGTGAGGGGGTGAGGGGGTTGTCGGGAGAGAGGGAGTGGGGGAAGGAGGCAATCAGTCGGGAAGAAGAGGAGGAGGAGAAGGGAGTGGGGGAGAGAGCAAATATATGAAAGAATAATGGAGGAGAGGGAGTAGAAGAGATAGAAGAGAAGAATAAAGGAAGAGGGAGAAATAGGTGGAAAGGAGAGACAGCGAGGAGTGTTAGAGGGAGGGGTCTCTCTCACTCTCCCTTGACTCCCCCACATGCTCCCTCACTCTCCCTCACTCTCTCCTCCCTCACTCTCCCTCCTCTGCCACATTCTCCCTCACTCTCCCTCACACTCTCCCTCACTCTCCCACACTCTCCCTCACTCTCCCACACTCTCCCTCACTCTCCCTCACTCTCCCACACTCTCCCTCACTCTCCCTCACTCTCCCACATTCTCCCTCACACTCTCTCCTCCGTCAAGCAATATTTGTCTGCCAACAATCACAAATGTTTGCTTTTTTCGTCTTCAGGTTAAGCCAAGTCTAATGAGCCTGCGTCATTACCCAAAATTGAGCTAGCTTTAATATTTTTCACTCTCTCTCCTCTCTCTCTCTCTCTCTCTCTCTCTCTCTCTC